TTTGTAAACGGTATTAAAATAACCTGTAGCAAAAATGATTTTCTAATTATGATCTATTGAACAGAACAGATGTGGATAATTCAGGGCCAGAGAGTAAAAATCCAGACCAGGATTTTGTTTCAACAAAATAGTTGACTACTCTGTGATTGTGACTCTTTATTTTCAACTGGTTGGTTGAAACAAAATCCCAGTCTGGATTTTTACTTTCTGGAGCTGAACTAGGCACCTCTGCGAAAGATTGGGTTTTATCCTCCTGCCAGCCTAAACAGAAGCTGAGACTACATGCTTTATTAACTTAAGTTTGTTCCTACCTTTAATTATTGTTAGTAGTCACGCACAAAGCACCTGTGCTGCAGAAACCTGGCCATAAGATACCCGTTGCATAAAATACTGCTGTAACATAATATTCAATCACCATTCATTGGCACTGCGGCATACAAAAGGCTTGCTGAGTAATGTTCATCCTGAAAACCACTTCCTTCATCTAGGTGGATCTTAAGAGGCCGATGCTGGTTCACAAGATTCGTACGCAGGGAGCAAAACACAGCTTCTCTGAGAGTTTCATCGTGATGTACAACGTCTCATACAGTCAGGACAGTGTGACGTGGAAAACATACAAAGGGAAAAGCACTAAACCAACAATGGTGAGTATTTCACACAAATCAGGAAACCAAACAGTAGCACCTAGGCCAGTACTTCCTGTTTCAAGCACAATATCTTTATTATGACCCATACTTGCAATCCAAAACTGAGGCTCTGTGTCCTTAGCTGAAAAATGGAGCCTGTATTGTTGTAGGTTTTTTTGTGCATCAGCTGCAAACAGAATCTATGTTGCCCTATTCAGATATTCACTGGAAACATAGATGGCTCCAAGATCAAGGAGAACGTCTTTTCCCCTCCAATCCTGGGCCGCTTCATCAGGGTGCACCCTATAGACTACAACAATCGCCCCACCCTTCGCATGGAGCTTTACGGCTGCGATCTGAACAGTGAGTCGCCGGTATCACGCCTAGAGATCAGGGCCATAAAGCTAATAGTTGACGTCATGTTTGCCTTGCCCCGGCAACAAGCTTGTAAAAATAGTTCAGAAGACAGTTGTCAGTACAGACCTTTTAAGTATCCCACTTGTAACATTCTACAGCACAAAGAGTTATAGAAGATGTGTGTCATTCTTTTGCCAGGCTGCTTAATGCCCTTGGGGATGGAAAAAATGCGGATTCCCAACCACTGCATCAGTGCATCATCCTTCTTGCATAAGTTATTCTTGTCTTGGAGCCCTTCTCTTGCCCGTATAAACTTAGAAGGAACTGCTAATGCTTGGAGACCCAAGGTATCCCTTTTTTACGGCTTCTGCTGTCCTTTTTTCTACTTGAAGTTAAGCCTTTTATCTTCTCCGCGATTAATATGAATGTGCCAGTATTCATGTGTCAGTGACAGAAACATTCTCTGCTAACCCTGTGTGAGTCTGGGTCTTTCATCTTGTAATAGAACTTTTAGATGTTTGATGTTCCCACTGTTAGCATTTTAATTCGCCCACGGGATTTAATGAACTCTATCTATCTGTCTATCTGCCTGCCCACAGAGGTGGAAAGTTCAGGTCCAGAAAGTAAAAATCCAAACCAAGATTTTGTTTCAGCTAGTTGAATGTACAAAGTCACAGTGACAGAGTACTCAACTGATGTTGTTGGAACAAAATCTTGGTCTGGATTTTCACTTTCTGGACCTGGATTTTCCACCTCTGCCTGCCTAGTATTAGCTATATTTATGATGCAGTGCTACATTTTGTACAATGTGGGCTAATCGTGCCTGCCTGTCTTTCAACCCCCTTTAGACTAATAACCCTTATGAATGGATCCAGGTGGATTTCCTGAGAGTGAAGAGGGTGACGGGGGTGGTCACCCAAGGGGCACGGTCTTTTCTGACCCATATGATGGTCACAGAGTTCACTGTATCAATGAGCAACAACGGTCGTGTCTGGACCAGCGTGCTGGAGGAGGATACGAAAATGGAAAAGGTTAAATTGCTGCATATTCCTCCCAATAGACACACAGCTGGACATCACAGACGTATCATCTCTTCTTACAACTCAGAAACATCGTTTTAATAATTTAAGCGGATGATATATTCCTTGCTTAAAATGCAAAATTTTTAAATGGTCACACAAAAAGGTAGGAAGAAAAATTAAGCTGCCCTTTATTTTTCTCTAGGTTTTCCAAGGGAATGACAGATATGACGAAGAAGCTCTGAATGTATTTGAACCGCCACTGTTCACCAGATACATCCGAATCCAGCCCAGAGGCTGGTATAACGAGATCGCCTTGCGCCTTGAGTTTCTGGGCTGCGACACGCAAGAGTGACATATAAATTTTAACAGGAAATAGCACTTCTGACAGCTTTTAGCTGTGTGTATTTTTCTAAAAACAATTATGTGAAATATGACTGGGGATTTGTGGTTTGTTCACGTCTTGTTCCATACTAGCTTTGATGTTACCATGAGTATGATATTTTAACTCTTTTACATTTATTTTCTGGAAATGCTGTAAATATAGTTTTCAGCGTGTGACTCACAAACTTTTTAGCATGCGGAATAGTTTTTTTTTTTTTTTTTAAACAAAAACAGAATCACACATACCACAACACGGTAATCATAAACCATATTTTGTGTGCATTATGCCTAATATAACATAACCAAAGGGGCATTTTCCTCACTATTCTGGCAGCAATGAATGTAGCTTTATACACAAGAAACATGTTTATATTTCATGATTAGAAAGGCAAGATGACTTCAGTGGTATTCTACTCTGTACACATAGCATAAGGATATAGTAGCAGAATAATACCCAGCAATATTTTTTATGTAATATTTTTGTCCTGTAGTTTATATGTAACTGAATTATTTGGCCTCCTGTAACATAATTATAGTAGAGAATCAGAAATATAAGATTGATTATAAGATGTATTTATTTAGGAGGCGCTTCTCTCCAAAGTGGCACAGATCTGAAAGCGGGGTCAGACTGATCCTCCAACAACTGGGAGTTAAGTATGTTGCTCAAGGGTCCAACGGTGAAATCATTCGGCTGCCCCAAGGACTTGAACTGGTGATCTTGCTTCTACAGATTTCTGAGAAATAGCCACTGTCTAGCAACCATTTACCACGGTATTAAAGTAACTAGGACTGCTCTGTGGTTCATTTCCTTGAAGGGCAAAGATAACCATTTGAGTGAAAACATTTGTCTTTCTACTTGCTATTCTTTTGCTACCAGAAACGTAGCAAAGGCAGAGGAAAGATTATCGGGTTTGGCAAAAGCAGTCTAATTCCGTTTTCCGTTTCCCATCGAAACTATTACATAAACTGCAAGATTGTTTTCACAGCTTATCCACTTTAAATTCTGGAGATGCCTTGGCAACTATTGTTCAGTTGTAATGTTGTCTTTCTGTCTGTTTTACTTGTGACCCTTGTTAAATAATTGCTTTGCTATGAAATTAAGTTTTATTAACATTAAACGTGTAAATCATTGTGTTTAATTGTCTGGTTGACGTGTGTAGGGTGGGATTAACAATTCCTGTCTCAGAAAGTCTAACAACTTTGTTTGGTTTGGAAAATGATGAAAACTACAATCTAGGACTGAACAATATCCTTAGCATAAATAAACACTAATGCTTCCTTTGAGCTTTCAAAACAGTATAATTGATCTCCTGCACTTTCATTGCCTGTACAAAACAATTTCTCCAAGGCAACTTGGATTTGTACGTAGGTTTTCAAACATTAACACATTGCACCTCAGCAGACAAAATAGCTGGTCCTTTCTGCTGAACAGTGTAACAGTGAACAATGCTCTGATAATCCTGAAATGTGTATGAACCTTCGGCTATTTATCAATACTTATATATATCCAGCATTTAATTATATTTTTTCCATATAAAGGCAATACAAAATCAAGATAACATTTCCAACATAAGGTAATAAAGGTATTGCTATTGTTGCATTTAGGCCAAGAGTATTACACACACTGTCAGAAAAAAAGGTGCAGCCCTGGTCCAGTTTTGTACCCAAAGGTACAAACAACAATAAATCCTAATGGTACAAAAATGTTCCTTGGAGTTCATTTCTATACCTTAAAAAGTACATTTACCTACAGCCAGGGGTGCCATAAGACAGGGGAAAGTTAGGACGATGCCAAGGGCCCCTGAGAGACAGGGGGCCTACAAGATTTGGAAAATCTTGGGGGGGGGGTTTGATATACCTTCATGGGCCTAAAATCTCCTGTAACACCCGTGCCTACAGCTAAGGTACAACTGGCAGATCCTTGGGGGTACAGCCCCAGGGACAAGTAATTGTACCCTGAAATGTATAGATTTGTACGTTTTTTTCTGAGTGTAGCCATATCAACACTTCAAGAATTGGACATTAGCAGTCATTAATAACACATTTAGTAACAAATATGTCAAATTCTGCATGCTTTGAGATTTAACACAAATATCATTTAAACAAGCGCTGTACTGGAGGGTAAACCACCCCAGCAAAGTATTAAAACACGTAACATCGCTGCTGAAACGTAACATAAGGGACTTAAGAGCGGTTTGTACAGCTTCCTCCAGATACAGGTAGAATCTCTTTACGTGAAGTTACGAAGTGTTAAAGAAAAGCACATGTCTTGTTAGGAAACGGATATAGTTACAGACACAGTTAATCTTTTGGGTTATTTTGCCGTATATGACTTCTATGTAAAATCTGACATTCTAGTTATAACCATAAGGTTATTGAGATTGGATAAACCATTGGTTTACAGGAGATAAATGACCAGTAATATTATCTTTGTTAAACGCCACATACACCGATGTTTTTTCTTGTTGTGTACACTGCACTTCCACATCATTATCCGTTTACTCACGTACAGTAGACGTACCAAACGTATTGCTTAATTACTCGCGCGATTCAGTATTATGAAATTGACACGTGTACATGAACACGTGTCATATAGGCGGGGCTCTGTGCGATTTCATCCAAACAGTTGCACTTTTGTCGGAGTCACGAGGTATTTTTAATGAATATACATGAGGGAAAAACTGAAATGTTTTTTTAAACTGTATTTCCGGCTCGCAGCATCGGGCAAAGTAGGAATTACGAGGCGCGGAAATCCAAGGATGTTCTGCGCCGACTTGATTATTTTTTTCTGTTTATCGACGGTGAAATTGTAGCTAAAATACGACATGAGCACCTTCAGAGTCGTTAATTTATGTGAAATTCCCCGTGTTTGAGTTCACGGACATGTTAAAACACTGCGGGGTTGTCGTGTCCTTTACACCAAAGTAGACCGCCAAACATAACTTTACATACACATGCTATTATACTTTACAGTTTGTGAATATTATGCCTTTTTGTTTTTTAATTGGTTGTTTCGGTAGTGAAATGCTTTAATTAATATTTCTTTAACTTTTCCGTGTTCCGTGTACTTCATTACCGTCCACCTAGACAAGTAAGCTATAGTCTGGCTGTGTAATTGCTGTTACAACATAACGCTTACGTGTTATTTATCTGCCGTATGGAAATGGACATTTTACATTCTCTTCCTGGTTTCATCATCCCTCGTTAGCCTGCCTTGTCTGATCCAGTTCTAGTTCAGCGATTTATGCGATAAAGCGAACATCAGTATGACTGTTGGCCTCTCCTTATCTAAATCTCGTTATTACATCTCAGCATGGACTGAACGTTGATGTCCCGGCAGATCGGTGTGTTATCTTACACGTCGACCTTTTTTCACCTTCTCCGGTAACGAAAGTGGAGTATGGCTCCGTATGACATCTGCAGCCTGTTAGATTGGGCTTACGGAGGTGTCGACCCGAAATTTGAAGGCAATGGAGGGCCGGAGTGTGCGGCTTTCCTCACGCCGAAGCAGCGACTACTGGAAAGCTTGGTTATTATTTCAATGTCCGTCGTAGAGATCGCGTTGGCATTAAGGAAAATCAGCTCCTCCAAAGAGCAAAAGGAAGGTGCCAAAGGAGACTGCAAAAGCGAGGAAGCCGGACCAGGGAATAACCTTTTATTGGTCGCTCTCTGCTTGACATTTGGAGTTGAAGTGGGGTTCAAGTTCGCGACCAAAACCGTAATTTACCTGCTGAATCCCTGTCACGTTGTCACCATGATGCAGGTATGGGAACTCGTCAAAAATATTGACTTACTGTACTGATTTGTTTGTCAGGTCTGTTTATGTGATGTCTGGAACCTGCAAACGAAGAGAAGTGTGCCTTTTAGACTGGTTTATTTGCAAAAACAATCACATTTTGATGCTAATTTCTGTCAGTCAATTTCTCGTTACTTAATGTCATTCTTTAACCTGTTCGCAAATTCGAATAAATTAATCAATGTATATTTATGCAGATTCAAACAAGTGATTTGCTGATTTTACGGGGAAATAATGAAACGTAATACTGTTAAAATGTTAAAAAGATAAAAGATTAAATTGGTGTTGCGTAGTCACAAACTATAACTATTAGGAGATCTATTTTAATATCAGTGTTTAATTGAAAGTTCCTAGAGAGGAAAAACTTTTATTCAAAGTAGTGGTAACCAGACTGGTGAGAAAACACTCACCTCTGTGTTTTGTTTGGGACGAACCCTTCCCAATCATTAGGCTATTGCTTGCTAAATGTTTCCCAGCTTATACTCCAATACACTGTTGACTGTAGTATAGTATATGAATGGGATAATCCTCATCATCTTACTGTTCCTGCCCCTTGAGGTTCTTTTAATGATCATCAAAGTAATCTTATTGTTTCCTCAAATTTATCTGAGCAATGCTGTGTAAACTGCTGAAATATCCAAGGTCAATGTCATTTTTGAAAGTGGTGTTAACTATGCACGAGGCCATAATAAAAACCGAACTGTTTGTGTTAGTAGTGTCAAGATGCATGTGTCCACAGGCTCTTTGGCACCTTCTGGCCAGTGTGTTACTCATAGACATTGCGTAATGCATTGACTCATAGTGACATGGGGTGCGTAAATGGACGGGCCTGTCTGAACACTGCTGTGACTCACTGGTAAAGCTCAACATAGCAATCCACTACAATAAAGTCATAAGAAAGCAAGAGTTTAGGTACAGTAGAGGATGGCATAAACAGAAAAAAACTTATTATATTATTTAGTTTGTATTGTTCTGTACTTTCCCTCAGTCGCTCTTTCTATCTGCTGACCCCTCCTTCCCTTTGTTTCATCTGATTGGCTGTACCTCTTTTTTTTTTTTTTTATCTCTTATCTGTTCACTTTATTGCGACTGGAAACAGCTGCAATAATTGCGTGTGAGGAAGGGTGGCCTGTGCAAGGTAAACAAACAGCTACTCGACTGGCCGCACTTCCCAAGGCGTCGTCACCCAAGAGTTTGACTTTGACGTTGTTCTGAAACGAAGTACCTAGCTATGAAATGGGGAAACCCCAGGTCACACAAGGGTAGCCTTCTGTCCTGGTGCCTGAGAGAGAGAGCTTCCACATTTCACAGGGCCGTATGGAGCGAGATAATGACTTTTCTGTCGTCCCCGCCCGTGGCTATCGCGTGCTTCCTCTTTGATTTGAAGGTTTATGTTTGCCTGCTGTGGAATGCACTTTCTCATAACCTGCAGAGGCATAGTTTTGTTTGCTTGTTTTGTTTTCCTTGTTGGCCTTGTGGAACCCTAAAATGCCAACAGCATCCTACTGAAAAATGAGCATCATTTACCAGGTTATTTCAATCAATCGTTTTCAAGGCTAGACTGAAAAATCACATCAACTCCAATATGTGTTGACGTGATATTTTTCTAACTATGAAGTCTGAGCTTTGTTGTCGCACCTTTGCTCAAAGAATTGAATCCCAATGTGTTATTTTGCCATCTGTTTTTTGTCTTATTTGGATTTAATTGGAGGTAGCAGATATAATTGAATGAGTGTGTGAGACACAGACTATATGCCCAGAAATGTGTATAATACTAGAGTATGTGCTCTGGTTGCAGGGAGTGTGTTTGGAGGAAGCAGGATTCAGGTAGTAAATCGTATCTGATTTACGTTCCTCCTTTTGCACACAGATTTTCCTGTTGTCCTGTCCACCATGCAAAACAGCCAGAGTCATTTTCCGGTATGTACCTGCATCCAAAAAAGCATTTGCATGTGGTAATCCTGGCTTTATAAATAAGCCTGTCTGTAATTTCTCTAACCATCCCTTGTTAGCTAATGAGTATGACTCCTGAACAGTGGAGGATAAGCTGTATGCTGAAGTCTGGGTAAATCCGCCTGGGAGAAGCTTCAACTGCTACTGTCTGCACATCACCGAAAGCTCTGTGACTCGGTTATGGATGTGTAGGTGTGGTCACTGAAATACACACTACAAATATAAGCGCAGAGTCAAAGTATTATTCAAAGTATTGAGACACCAAGTTGATCAGGATCATCTCCAGTCCTCGTTTGAAGCCGTGACTGTTTTCACAGATCTGTGACACAGACCTCTTTAATAAGAGGTAACAAATGCATAAACAGTAATTTACCTGACCTGAGACAGTCACCTGAGACAGACACGTGTTCGGTCAAGCTGACTTGCGGCACCCATGGTGACATTAACAGCACCCTGTAATTGTCCTTAGAGCAGGTTAATAGGCAGACAGACTCAGTCAGCATTAATATCCATAACACAGGCTGGAGTCATAGCACCTTTGTCTCACTGCGCCCGGTTGAAAAATGTATTTTGCTGGTTGTGTGTGTTGGAACCTGCAACCTTACAACTCGCACACCTGCTGTCAGCCTGGGGAAAAATACTATGGGATTTTTATTATAGCTAATTGATATGCGGTTATTTAAAACATTTAATATTTGTTGGGCACTGAGCATACCAATATGACCTTATGATATTAAATGTTTAATGGTCCCTAGTTAGACAAATTAGACAATTCCTCTCAAACTATAATCCCCATCCTGGTCAGAGCACGTAATTACCAAAAACGGGCAACATTAAAATGCCAAAACTCTCAGAAGAACTGAAGTAGTAAACTGTGTGTCTCTTGTTGCATTAGTAAAGACTCAACACACAGTCTCGCACAAAAGCTGAACTACAGTATACCCATTCTGTGTTTTTGGTTTCGTGAGGGAGAAATGCAAAGTGCAACACCACTTTCCTCCTTGGGATTGCACCAGCAGCTTGCCAGGCTGATGGATGTGCGAGTCTTGTCAGGTCATCAAGTTTTCTTTTTGAGGATTGTCTGCAAAACAGCTCCCTGATTCTTGGATGCCAATGGAACTGCCAAGAAGTCCAGACCATTGCATTTAAAGTACTGTTTTCCTGTAAATATAATTTGTGTCAAGATCCTGGAAATGGCTGCTAGTTTCCTCACAGTGTTTATTTTTTTCTGCCATAAAATCTGACACGTTTGCCCTTCATTAGTCAGTAGTCTTTAGCGATGGGGTGAAGTCGACGGCAGAGACCCGGCGTCTCCCGTGTCTCCGTGTGACCCTCCCTGCCCCCTTGTTTCAGGCTTCAGGTCCACATGCTGAACGGGGCCCTGTTGGCTCTGCTCTTCCCTGTTGTTAACACCAGGCTGGTGAGTGCCCCGTGTGGCCAGAGGCACGTATTGCGCAAGCAGCGGCTCGGGTGGTAGCAGTCACATGTTCCTGTGGAGAGCTGCGGCTTCACGCTGCAAGCTGTGAAGACAGGAACTGTCACATAAGCATGCTTTTGCAATTATTATTATTCTTATTGATAACAATAATCAGCTTTATTGGCCAATTATGTTTACACACGTGAAATTTGTCTCTGGTTGTCTATGGCTCTCATACAGTCGAACTTCGTTACAACGTACCTCGGGGGACATTAAGAATTTGTACGTTATAACCATAGTACGTTGTAACCAAGTCCCTCAAAATGAATGAGAGAACACAAAATGTATATAAAAAAACTTTTATAAAACACCCCTCAAGTTGACAATATGACATACAGCTTGTGTAGTTTGAAGAATATAGTTCCTATTCTGAATAGGAACTATATTCTTCAAACTAGGTTAATATCAGTTACTCATAGACAGCCGACATAACGCAAAATCCACTGCCGGCTTATCGTTCAAATCGCCTTACTGGAACCTAATGTCAAACCGAAATTATGCACCTGTATGATTCAATTGGCTGAAATAAATTTCGATACCATGACACCATGCAAAACCATGAAAAAACGGGGGCTGCATGCAAGGAGTCCGGCCGGCGTGGAATGCTTCGTGAGAATAGGTTCATACAGTTAGGCCTTGCTAAGCGATGTAGATGGCCGGCAACAGCCGATTCTGAATTGTGCGCGCGCTCGGAAGATGAGGCTGTACGTTGTAACGAAGGTCAGTTTGCCTATTTTAGTCTGAAAATCATACGTTATATCGAAGTTTACGCTGTAAAGGTGTACGTTCTAAGCGATACCGGCAAATGGAATAATGCATTACGCCAATTCGGGACATTAAAATTTGAACGTTGTATTGGTGTAAACGTTATAAACGGGGTACGTTGTACCGAGGTTCGACTGTACATATATATAATATACATGAACAGTTAAGGGGTCACATACAATTTGATTGCTTTATTGCTGGTTTAGCCTCAGCATCCACATTCTTCCCTTGGTCATTAAGTCATGACCAAGATTTCAAACCAAATGGATTTACAAAGAAATAGTGCAGGAATGGTAAACATAACAGAAATTATGCCGTGACAGTAGCATATTGTGCTCATGCACTGTTAAAAACAAAAAAGACTGACATTAGAATTTTCTTTTTCTTTTCACAACCCAATGAAAATGGCCCTGCCAGTTTGTGGAAGCTGTGAAATTTTTTACGACCACTCCTCATTTTACAATTACCTGAGAATGTCACCATTCACAAATACAACAGCAATAATAAAAAATAAAAATCTGACCAGTTCATGCATTTATGACTACATTTTGTACACTGGGCAACAGTGCATGCTGGCGTACAATAGATCTCTGAAGTAGAATGTACAAAATGTTAGAATTGTCCACTTCATGAAGGATATTAAGAAATTAGGCATTAAGCATGGATGGCTGAAGTAAGCACAGTTGCGGTCATGCTTAAGCTACCATGATTATCACTTAGGGGCTGTTTTGCTTAACGGCATAATCATTGGAATGGAACTTGTTTGCTAAACGAGAAGTGGTTGTACATCTTAATATATGGATGACTAAAAGTTTTGCATGAACAACTTAAATAAGAAAACCCAGTTAATTAATGCTCAGAAATGATATTCTGTCCTTAGTATTCAGCAGTCATCTGTTGCTATCCTTTCTTTCAGCTGCCTTTTGAAAAAGAAGTCTACTATATTCAACATGTCATGCTGTACTTGGTCACTGTTTACCTTTTCAGAAAGGGAGGTAGGTCTGTGGTTATTTACATGTCCATTGATCTGTCATTCTTGTTTTATTTCAGCGGTTTTAATATTTTTGACTATATAAATAAATCATAAGTGTCAGGAACAAACTAACCCTATCCCATCCCATCCCATCCCATCTATTCTCTGCCGCTTATCTGGGGTCGGATAGCGGGGGCAGCAGTCTAAGTCGGGATGCCCAGACCTCCCTCTCCATAGCCACCTTCTCCAGCTCCTCCGGGGGGATACCAAGCCGTTCCCAGTACAACCAAGAGATATAATCTCTACAGCGTGTCCTGGGTCTGCCCTGGGGCCTCCTCCTAGTTGGACATGCCCAAAACTTCGCCCCAGGGAAGTGTCCACGACTCATTCTAGATAGATGCCCGAACCACCTGAACTGACTCCTTTCGATGCAGAGGAGCAGCGGCTCTAACGTGATCCCCTCCCGAATGTCCGATCTCCTCACCCTATCTCTAAGGCTGAGCCCAGACACCTGGCGAAGGAAACTCATTTCTGCCTCTTGTATCCATCATCTCATTCTTTCGGCCATTACCCAAAGCTCATGACTATAGATGAGGGTAGGGTCGTAGATCAGACTATTTCTGTAGTATAACTACAGTCTGGCGAAGAGGAAAGGTCTGCACACGTTGTGAATGCTTGGGCCCTGTAGATGGCTTTGATAAAAACCAAAGCAGGGTGAGACTGCCACCTAGTGCAGATGCTGTGTAATCAGTGAATCACTTGGCTCGCTTTGACAAGATTTTCAGATATTCGTTGTCATAAAGTCAACAAAATTTACAGCCTGCTCAGCTGGATAACCACCATTTGTCCAGGATATATTGAAAATTACCGTTGAATAGATGGTCTGTTTTTATTCTATATTAGTACTCCATTATTGGTACTCTCAGAATTTTAAATTGAAAATATTCTAAATGCTAGATATGTTATAATATGTTTTGTTATATATTACAATGTTTTGAATATGATTTGAAGGTGTAGCTAACTAGAAGAAATTAATCAATCTATGATATTTAATTATATCGGACTGTTAAAATGATTAATGGTCAAAGCGACCTGAGCCCTGAAGGAGCCCAGTTGCTGCAGCCAGTTATGTGAATGACTGATCAGAAAGCCCGCCTTCACAGTCCTGCAGCCAGTTATGTGAATGACTGATCAGAAAGCCCGCCTTCACAGTTCTGCAGCCAGTTATGTGAATGACTGATCAGAAAGCCCGCCTTCACAGTCCTGCAGCAGAGCTTATGATGACGTCAGTCAATACACCGCTGTTGAGGAGTTTGTCTGTTATACATGCAAACATAAGCAACTTCAGTGCTAATTGCAAAAAGGCAGTCTTTGCAAATTATTATAATTACATAAAAGGGTGATTATTTGTAGAGACTTTGTGCAAATGCTTCTAATAAACAGTATCACAGAGTCATGGAAGTCGTTTCTGTAAGGCATAAACAGAGGTGACATTGAATAGTGCAGTTGCAAGATGAATGGTGTAACTGTGAGACAATAGATAAGCTCCACAGGTTACAATGAAGGCAATACAGTTATAGATCACAGAATAAAAACCAGAGGCTGGTCAGACCTTCCAGCCGCCTACAGAATGAGCGATGGATGTAGGGGGAGTCTAAGGCAAAGTTATGAGTGATGGATCATAAAACAAAATAGGCCCCTTTTCAGAAACGAAGCAATGAGGTCACTGCCTCTGAATCACAGGTGGGAAATGGGAGCACAAACGTGCAAATGAGCTGATTTGGGGGGGGAGGTGCAGCCCAGCTCTTTGGGGGGTGGGGGCGGTCTTCGGAATGCCAGTGTCACCACCGCAGTGCTCCAGGTGGCCTTCCGAGTCTGTCTTTAGTAACTGCCTCATTTGTGACGCTGGTCCGCTTGCCGTTTGACATCCCCGCTCTTCGTGCTCCCGCCTACAGGGGTATACAGGCCGGAGCCATTAGGAGACATCTGGTGGGCCGTCCTGTCCATTGGGATCCTCTTTCTGTATCATTTCACCCTCCTGCAGGCACTGGGACTGGTAAGAAACCTCAGTGAAACTGTCTTCTGACAATCATTGCTGGTGTTCAGTATCCTTGCATGCACCAATAACACCCTTATCTATCTGGGGCTGTGGCCCAAATCTGGGCACATACTGCCCCAGTGTGTCATCCAGCCAGCCCTTTGGAGTGAATATGACTGTAGAGACCCTGATCCACACTGACAGTCAGCTTACAGCCCTAGGCCAACATGGGCACCTGCTTAAATATCATGTTCATCTTCATTCCCGTTGACCCAAATACTGTTCTTTGTCTGATTAGGAATGCATTAAATTACTTTGTCTCAGGTTATCTTTGTAGCCTGGATTAATTTCGCTGGTTTAAATTAAATTTTCACTCACAAAAAAACACCATGAAATCACATTTCACCTGACCCTGTTTTGCTTTTGAATGCTGTTATTCTCGTACCCAATACAAGACGTTTTTACAAAGTAAAATAACTTCACACGTTATATTTTTTCCTTGCTTGATTTTATGCATAGGATGTTGCGAGATCTTCACAAACATTAATGGTCTTATTTGAAAGGCCAGGGCTCATCGGTTACATCACCTGCAATTACAGTAAGCTCTGACATATCAGCTGTATAGTGTGATTTTATGTAAAGAATTTGTCCTTCCTCCAGGTAACAGAGGTCAACCTGAACAACATGCTCTGCCCAGCCGTGTCGGACCCTTTCTATGGGCCGTGGTATCGGGTCTGGGCCACGGGTCACCAGACTTTACTCATTCCCATCCACGGCAAGGTGCTGACAGTGATCATCTACCACTCAGCCTCTGCCTACAGACAGCTGTTGCATACAGCAAGATGGCATACCAAAAAAGCAGACTGAAGAAATATTTCATGTGATAGTGTGTGTGTGTGTGTGTGTGTGTGTGTGTGTGTGTGTGTGAATGGTTTTTAATTTATATATTTACTATTCTTCCTAGATAAGTGAAAGTTTCATAACCCAGGAAATTCTGGTGAATATAGCTGGCCTTCCCCATTGGCCATATATTTAATTCCCATATTTCATTTTTTTAATGCATTTTCTCAGGAATGCCTAAATTTGTTTGTTGTAAAGTTTATACTCCTGAATGGATCGAAACTGCATGCATGTGCCTTAGTGCATCTGTTAGTATTCATGTTGTTAAGAGCCATTGAAATATTTCCAAAATTTACTTCTAAATTTTTAAAATATACATTATATATAAATACTTAGAATCCTGGAGTTTTATATTTATACAGTTGGTTCATGGAAATGTAACTAGTATTTTCTGTAATGTTTGCACATATAGCTTAATTGCTACAAATAAAGTTGGTCAGTTTTGTGGATATTAAGTAGCGTGGTGGAATGAAAATGATTGATTATTCAGATCAGACAGGTTCATGAAGCAAGCTCTGCTAAACCAGTTAAGGCAGTCACACAAACCCATTGCAGCGCCTGCTGTAACTAGAACATGGCATTCCTCAAGGAATCGTCTGTAATACTAGACATGTTTCCAAGGGTAACCTTGATGCCAATACTAAGAAAAATGTAACTGTGAACCCACGGTTGACAGGATTACTCTGTGATGGCTTAAACCAGAGAGAACCAGTAAAAATAAAGATGGGACATGGGTTTAACTGGTCATGAATATGAGAGAACAAGTAGCAACACTACCACACCGAACAGATTCCTCTTAAAAGGATACATTATATGCTTAGAATGAAAAGGTGATTTTTTTTGTGCACAGTATTTCAACTCCTGCTACAGTAACAAGCAGCACTAAAGTCAGTGTAGTTTGGATTTTTTTATTGGATGATTTAAAAGGTAACAATAGTGTTCAATGTACAACAGGACCGCCACAACCAGAATTCACAAATCCACCTATATGCCATCCATGTGAAAAATGTCCTTCTCCATTCCACTCTTCCTGTTTTAAAATGCCCTTTTTGAAGTCCATCACACTGGGGGAGAAAGAAGAATCTAGTTTTACAAGGGAATGTGGATCCAGGCATTATTTTTCCCCATGTTATCTGTTGGAATAAACTGAGCAGTTATAAACTAAAACAAAACAAAAAGTAAAAGGTGAGCATTTGGGGCTACGCCAGGCAACCCCAAAGGCCAATTCAGTCCCCTGACAACCAGGTAAGACATTCCAACTTATTTCAGAATATAGAAAAGCGTTAAAATAATTTATAAACTAGATCCAAAATTTTATTTGAAAAGAATAAACTTTGATGTACAAAACAATCTTTTTTTCAGTTTTCATGTTTTCTTACAAAAGTGCCAACACATTGAAGGTCCCCCCCCCCCCCTACTTAGAATTAATGTGTAATTATCAGTGCGATTGTTTACCAGTGAAGCTACTGGGTTGAGAATTAAGAAACAAGGCTTTGTTTTTTTCCCCCCTTTTTTAACCTTAAAACAATGCGGATAAATGCATCTTGAGATGTAAAATCATTGCTGGTCATTAAGAAACACATTAAGAAACTCATGTCAAAGAGGCACGCAATGGGGATTTTTTTTTCCTTAAAAAAATTGTAACAATGAAGGGAAAATGCACATGCAGCTCATTTACAGTTAACATCATTTTAACATTGAATGAGGTTTCCTGGAGTGCAACAATTTAAACTGACTCAAGCTATGAAAAAACAAAGGCAATATGACATTTCTTCTGCAGGGTGTCTTTTTTTGTGTGTCTGTGCGTGGGGGGGGGGGTGGGAAGCAGCATTTGAACAAGGCTGGAGGCATCTTTGGTTCCTTAAAACACACAAGGGTAAAGGGAGAACCACACATGAGTCATACAAGTACAGGAGGAAACAAGGAAGTCAATCCTTGCATGTGTATGTACAGTATATGTGTGTTTTTCTAGAACCAAAAGGAAAAACCACACACACAAAACTGCAATCTGCCTCCAGAGCTTTAGTGATTATTACATAATAAAGAAATGCTACTTTTAATAGTTTATCATGCAATTTCATCTTCCATTTCATCTTTAACCTGTTGTAACATACACATCGTAAATTCACACCACAAAGCATTTGTTTCTTCGTTTTTTTCCCCCACTCGGTTACTGATTTCCATTTCGTGTTTTAAGATGCAAAAGCAGCTGATCACATTATGGACACTGGAGGTTTATTTCCGTAATTTTTGGATATGAAATAAGGATACAAAGAAGCACAGGAAACAGTGGCGGTGGCAGAACCAGCCCATAATGCTCCTGGATTAGGCTTGAAAGCATTTTACAATAAACCATCATAGAATGGTTTCTATGCAAAACTGTTCATGTAGACAACAGAATACAGTTCAATCAAGTGCATTTTTTCATAATCCAAAGAGGTTGATCATAGATTTTCTTCAAAGAATATTAAAAATCAAAATTATAACCTAATTTGAGTTACTTAAAATACATCTCTCACCAAGAAAATGTAATATTCATAATATTTGAGATCAAGACACTGGGAGACATTACAAATCACTGTAAAATACTACTGTGTCTTAAAGAGGAACTCTGGGATTTTGCCCCAGTAACAGAAGCCATGTCTTTCAGTAGACTGAAAGACTTTAATATTGAACAATTCTTTAGAGGGAACTAAGGTACTGAAGTTCAGGTTACTGGGAGGACACCATAAATACCATCATCTCTCTCAGGAACACAGAGGTCCATCTTCTATCTCAAATCTCCAGCTTTTCAGTAGCCGTCTCAGAGACCAGACGTCTTTTTTTTTCTGTGATAAACATATCCCACAATACATTGCAGTGATGACCAATTTTGCATAAGTGAAAAATAAATGAAACGCACCAAACACACAGCTTCACCGGGAGTGTGCTTTAGCCAAAGTTACTGCATTTTGGTAAAGTCAAACTTAAAAAAAGAAACACGGAAGCCCTTAGAAGCTGCTTAGTGCCAAGGCACTGCAGACAGATGCACATTTGCATCATTACTTGATTATCTTAACCTTTCACGACTCTGTCGAGGTGTATGCTTTGAACCTCGTGGAATATCAGATTTCCGCATGAGTCTGACCCAAACTGTGAGTAAAGAAAAACTTGTTTTCTAATCAGAAGGGTGACAGAGTCCCAGCTTGAAATGTAAGAACATAAATAACTTGAGTTGACGTCCAGTCCAGAAATGAATGGGAGAGGAGCAGGAAAGTGTTTTGATATCCCTGTCCTTTCAAAACGATGGGATTTTATTACATAATTACACTGTACGAAACACCTATAAAACAGGTCTGCATATATTAAAAAATAATGATATGATTCAGAAGTCCGCATGACCAGTCACATGACCTCTCCAACATGAGGTCCATTAGCACCATTTTTGCAGATTATTTTTCTATAATCTTTTGTAGTAAAAATAACTAGTCAAGGATAAACAATAGTGTTGACTTGTATACAACATATGCAACACACCACGTGGGTATGTGTACACAGCATACAAACATATAATCACATATAATAATCTAACAGTTTTGCAGCAAAATCATGTACCATTGGGGAAAAAAATGAACCCGAAAAAATGTATGTCCTACCTTAATTTCACGCAGTGACAAAATACAGCTATACGATAAAATATTGAAGAAACAGAAAGTTTCCATGTTTTTGAGCCTCAAGGAGATGGAATCCGCCAGAACGGACATGACACTTAAGGCGTGTAGCACGGCACAGCACTGTGACAGTAACAATAAAGAAAAGTCACAGTTACTATTGTCAGGATTGTCAGTTACTATTGCCAGGCAATCGACCAGCCAGAGCCTCACTCTCTGATGATGGTGATGTTAGTATCGTATGGAAACACAGAGCCGGGTTCAGAGAACCACAGACTGCTATTACTACCAAAAGGCATATCTTTGGACTGAAAACTTTAGTAATTTGCACACATTCATAACAAAATAATAATGCATTCATAAAGCATTATAAACATGGTTATAAATATTTATCAAAGGCATAACACATCCTAACCATGTTTATTATGCATTATGACTGCCTTATGAAACATCTATAATGCACTATAATGGTCGGTATAAGCATTAAGAATGCTTTGAACTGCATTATGAAGGTATCTATATATGAGTTTATTAAAGCCTTCATAATGCATAATAAATATCTATAATGTATGCCTTTTTATAAATATGTATAGCCGTGTTTATGATGCTTTATGAATGCATTATGAATGTGTTTATAAATTACTAAAAGCATGGCCTTATGTAAAGTATTACCAAAACGTTATTTGGGAACCAAACGGAACATCCACAGAAAAATTTCCTGACTCTTGTTTCTCAAATGACTCATTAAAAATTAATTAGTGTTAGATTCAGTAATATGCCTTAACGTCCTACCAATTAACTCAGGTGTCTAGTATCATTTTAAAATTAATGACAGGGCTGAATAAATTATAAACAGTCACATACATGGACGAGAGTACTCAATTTTAAACTGCACAAAGCCCACACGCTATCAAATGTTTTTATGCATTATAACCAACATGTTACTTTATAGGTATATAAATGTATCACTGGATATTTATGCAAATACAGGGCATCAATGGTTTAGTCCAATGGAAGTTTTAGCATTGCTATGGACGGAATATTGGAAGACCCCAGAAAGCTGGCCTGCTGATTGATCGGGTGTGTCCTTCAAAATACTCCATGAAAAGCCGTACACAATGAAATAGGATGGAAACCGAAAGTCATAAATCTCTCACAGGGTAAAAAAACCTGCAGTTTATGCAGCATGACTGAAAAACACATGGCTTACATGTTAAGATAAAGGGGCTCTCTTGGTTTTTAGCTAATCGTAATTGAAACTAATTCCACCTTAATTAAATTTTTGCATTCGCCCCAAGAACATGGGCCATTTAGATACTTATCTGGGTTATTTGAAAAGCCACTGAATTGTTCACCCACTGAATGAAGCCCAAACTGATCAACTAAACTGTACAGAAGAAGCATCACGAAAGGGGAGTCCGAAAGTGTACCTTGTCCTCAGGCTAGTGCCAGTAAACAGAGACACAGAGCCCAGAACAGAGATTGTGTTTTGTAACTGAATATGGCTTTTTCAGTAGTGTTACTCATGCCGCCCCCCCCAACAGCCTGATCAGAAAACTAAACAAAATGCTTCATCTGAGATCCAAGCAAACAGACATGGAATTTTATAGCCAACACTCAAACGCGGCTAAACGAATGTTTTCCTGTGACTGAACAACAGGAAAACTTAACGGAGGGAAGGAAACTGGCCAAATGTATATAAAGCTGTGGATACTAAACATTTTATAAAGAAAATGAACACACTGATTTTATTCATTTGCACCTAAGTTACTTCAGAGTATATGACCTGGGATACATCAGTTTTATCGTGTCAATTTAGTGTATTTTCAGTTACATTTCCGTTAGCCTTCAGTCTGCATCACAATTGTCATCCAGTGATACACAGAAATTTGTTCAGATCTCCAGGTTTATTTAAACTGGCTTCAGGTCAGTCCTCTCAATCACTCAAATTATTTTTTCCCCTCTAACAATTACGTCAATTTGCTTCAACTAAAAAGAAAAAGGGCATTTTTTCCCCAAATTCATGTGCAACGCATCTTGCCATATCATATGATAAAAGCAAGATATAAACAAAAGGAAAATCCTTATATTAACCTTCCATCCACAGAAAAAGTAAATCTGATTAGAAGAAAAACGACAAATAAAAAGTAAAGTCTAGTTTATTAAAATAAAATATGTGCTGCAAAACGTCAGTAACGTAACTCTAAAGAGAAACACTTCGACAATGACGATTAAATAAATAGTAACAAAACCGCTGTCATCCGTTGCCATGCTGCCGCTCGGAAAGCGTCCCCATGGCAACGGAAACAATCATCATAAAATGGTACAGTAGTAGATGTAGTTAGACCAGGAGGTGGAGGGCTCCCCTGGGACGAGACCTGCGGAGAGGTCCAGTGACTGGTCACGCGGGTCGCTGTCAGGAATAATGGTTGTAGATAGGGAGGGGGTGCCCCATGCCGTTTTGGTAGTGTTGGTGCTGACGATGGGCGATGTATTCCGCGTAGCTCATTGTCATCTTTTCGCTGTGATACCTGCAGCGGAAGACGTGAGGTCAGGTAGAGACGGAGGCGGGAGAAATGCGGACCAGGCCAATGTTTCGTCAACCACACGGGTGGCCTTGGGTAAGTGCGTCAGCAGCCACGTTTGTATGCATGTTCAGATTTGGAAAAATAAGTTTCAAATCGTTTCCCCCAGCTTTCTATTCATAAAACAAGGATTTCGTCCTTTTTCCACTGTGCAGCAACAACTCAATTCTACAGGGTTCTGTGATTTGTTTGAAAAATTGCATTATACGTGGAAAATGAATAATTTTAACTGATTGATTAACAATAATATGTATGAAACTAGTGTATAACCTTCTCCCATAATGTGGGTCAATCTACCCAGTCCATTCAAATGACCAGGATAACACACCAGCAATGAACAATTAACTTTCGAAATACATACAGTGAGAAGAGCCTGCTATAGATCATCCTGTTAATTATCAACCGCAAAACGCTAAGATAATAAAACTGACTTATTAAAAAGGATTTACAACCTGTAGCTCAATCAAGAGTTTAGACTTCTCTGACATATTTAGTACTGAAGTATTATCCATTATCAAATGCTGTTGCCCAAGATTAATATTTCCAGCAAAAAGAAATGGTCTTCACCCAAAATGTTCTCAAAATCACCAAAGGCTATAACAATATTACTATGGTTAATAATGAATGTATATTCTTCCTCAAATACATTGTGAAAATGTGTGCCACTCTCACAATGAATAACCAGTAAAGCCTTTCCCAAAATGTTCTTTTGAATGGGTACTTATCGTCACTTAAAGATAGCAAGGCTGTTCAGACATAACATGCTGATGAGAAGCTATGACATTTTAGTCATTTTCCTGTCAAACTAATTCATGACATTTGGTTTTATTTTGCCAGTGTAGTACCATGTGATACTAAAACAATTTCAATCAGTACCGTGACTCAGACCATCGTCACTGCTGTTAGTTTACTGGCAATACTAATAGTGCAGATGTAGCTCTGCTAATAGACTGTTAGCATATGTCCGTCTTACCTGGTCAGTTTAATGGTCTTCCTGAAGTCATTTGTGATGGTAGCTTTATAGCCTCCTTTCCGAAGTAAGGAATCTATGGTTTGTATGTGGTCCCAACCTGGGGGGGGGGGGGGGGGCAGCACAGACATCATATCCCTCATGAACAATGGTATCCAACTGTGGAGGTGCTAAACTTGATGGATTTTGGGGCCAACAGGTATCGTTGCTTTTGGACCAAAATTTCATCATCATTTCCTGCTCCTCACACTCCACACTACGACTAAACGGCCTGGTAATGAATATGGATAAGCGACTGCCGAGAGAAGGGAACAAGCAACCAGCAGTCAGTCTAATCAGCCTCAACTGTCTAGCTAGCTCTACATTAGCCATGGTAGGAAGGTTTAACAAAGATGGAGAGCATTCAGAAAAAGACTGAGGAAATAAACCATTTAACCGATAAAAACAACGGATGACGTTCCCAAGAGAATGTCTTTTTCCTCACCTCAAGCATCACTAGCATCAAGAGTAGCAAGCAGCTGCACATTGTACAGTATCCATGTTGCACCTGAACATACCATTTGACGCTTTTTTGGAGGATGGATTTCCGTACAGTTTTATATATATCGGCCCTGGTCAATACCATCACTCCAAATCACACACACAATTAAACTAGTTTTCTCAATTTGAAATTCACCAGGACAGGACCTACTCTTACAAAGCCATTCTCCCCATTTGGCAACAGCACCCAATTCAGAGACAGACAGTCATAGATATACAGTACTAGGGAAAAGCTTGGACACACCTTCCCACAGAAAGCTTTATTTGTACTTTCCTCTACATTTTACAATACCTATAAGGACATCAAAACTACAAAATACAATACATGGACTTATGTACTGACCAAAAAAGTATTAGACAAAACAAAATAATTTGTTGGGGGGCGGGACTCAGAAGGTTGCTGGTTCAAATCCCTGGGTCAACTGAATGATCCCACCATTGATTGGGCCCTTGAACAAGGCCCTTAACCCCAATTACTCCTTGGACTGGCTGACCCTAAGGTTTCCTCTACACCAGTTCCATGAGGCGGCCTCCTGGGACGCCTTTCCAGCTGCCCTGAAGATGATCCCACATATGCTGAGCACTCATTGTCCACTTTTCATTCATTCTCTGGTCAAACTCCTCTGAAACCATTTTTACTGTGTTTAAGTCAGGTGGTCAGGTCATGTGACATGACACTCCATCACTCTCTTTTGCAGGCAGCTTGGGGTGTTCAAACTTTTGACGGGCACTGTACTTTACTAATCCCAAGAGGGAAATGCTTACAGCACAGCAGCACGTACAAGACAAAGTGCATAAGTGAATGAACAACACGCAGTAGAAAGAACCGACAGAGTTACATAAATACACAGGTGAGGAGGACTGCTGATCTTATGCAAGGTTTTAGCTACACTCACTGATTCTCAGCCAAGTACTAACCAGAGCCATCAACAGTATGGAATTGGATACACAGAATCTCACCTTGCTCCTTCGCAACCTCCGGAAGGTAGGTGGCTGTCCGCTTTGATCCTTTTTCACTAATAAACTCTATTCTGATGCCATGTACACCCACCTATAAGAAAGAGATGGTACATATCCTGTTAGGTCGAAAAAAAATTGTGAAACTGTATCACAACAATAAACTACTTAATATATTAAGGAAAAATCACTGGTGGTAGGTTTTCAGTTGTGTGGAAAAATAATCCTCAAGAGAGAGACTCACTTCTGGAAATAGAAGCTTAGTTTTACTAGACACTTTTGTTTACCATGGAAGATCGCCTTCATAGGACTTCAGAGCTTCAGGTTCACAGTGACACTGCCTTGATTATTATAGCATAACAGCACATAGGGAGGGAATTCCTCTGCCAGGTCCTTAGGGCAGGTTCATTAGGTGGGACAGGGATGATCTCCGCTAATCTCTGAGGTCCCCTGGTCAGCTGCAGGCCTAGAAGCTCTGGGGGCTGTAGGGGTGGGGACGACTGCAGCCACAGATAGAGCAGGACGCTGACAGAGGGAGGGTGACAGGGCTGCCGTCCATCTCCAGAGGGAGAACCAGGTGACTGTAACCAATGTGATCCGCCCTTCCCCATTATCGGCATGTATGGGTGTATTCTTGCTTTCATTTTGCCAGTAGCTCTGGACCAGAGTCCTATCCTTTGAGGCATAGAAACCTCCCCAAATCTCCTTTTAGCCACTAGACAATAGATCTTAATTGCCATGCGACAATAATCCACAAACATCAACTCAATTCTCCTGACTCATTACTGACTTTGAACATATAAGAATTATACCTGCGGTACTTTGTTCTACTACTGAGACAAACTCCGATTTACATAACAGCAACAAAATAATGACACTTAGATAATACTACAAGTGGACTTGGGGGAAAAATTGCTTTAAATTGCTTCATCAATCATTTCACCTTCCGCACATTCTAATTATGGTCAATGTGTGGGTAGATGGAAATGAGAGATTAAACATTATCACTCTCGTAACTGTCACATTTGTGACATATCTTTTAAGGGCAGCAATGTTCCCCATTCAAGTTAGCAGAAAATGTCTGCTGCCGGTGAATTCCTATTTTCACATTCTATGCAGGCAGTCAGACTGAGCTATCGTGTCCACCGTGAGTAGCAGAGACTAGGATTTGCCTCATATTGAATGCAAGGTGCACTGAAATAACAGCTTAGAGTCTACATTTGCTGGTAATATGACCCAAAGAAAGCCAGATGCTTTTGTGCTGAGCCTCAGCTTCTGTCAGCTCAGGAGGCCTCCTTTGATAACCTCACATTACTAGCGGGTTATTAACCCACTGAGGTGTGTGTGGCCACCTAATTCACGCTGCGCCTCTAGAAATTTCTCCAGAATAATAACTTACACTCCCGACGGACGGGTGTACCGGAATTCCGCCCACGAGCGTTTGAGCTTACACCACGTTGTCTGTACGTACCTCCCAGTCTAGGTAATCACCAACGTCCTCGAAGTTGGTGAGCAAAGACACGGAGCAGAAGAGCCGCGGCAGCTCGTCCCGCGTCATGGGGGGGAAGCGGCTGTCTTTAAGGGCACTGTGGACACAAAGAAAGATGCTCAGCTCTACACGGGTAGCACATAGTGTCATAGACAGCTCGACATTGGAGACAGCTCGACATTCTCAGTCATCTACCAATGTACACGTTCATTTTTCCTGTACCAATATAAATTCCATTTTCCCCCATAAATATTCATGTTTACTTTCAGGTAGGACAGAATTTACCCACATAAATGGACTAAATTGAAGATTTTTTTTTTACAAAAATCAGACAGTTTTCCGATCTTGATTCAGATTACTGATTACAGCTCTGTGTATTCTAAACTCGGCCGTCCTCTTTTTTAATTAAAGCTCCCTGGCTCAAATCTATGATTTAATCCTGACTAAGCGGCACATTGACTAAGAGAGGCTTGCTGACAGTGGATACGTAAGCAGAATGGAGGCCAATCTAACTTCCCATGCAGTAATGATGAAGATGAATGATGAAGAGTCCATCCGGAGGCCATCAGGGGACGGGGAGGAACGCCTCTTCACTTCAAGAGAAAACACACATACGCACTATTCGTCTGGCCCCTACAATATGGAAAAAGCCTGGAGTATCCAGGAAACACACATGATCACGAATCATGCTGCCTGAAACACTGCCACCCCCTTGTTAAACACTTATTTCCTTGACTCACGCCCTAGCTGGTTACCACGGTGACACCTTATGTTTTCCAAATTAAGGCATGCTGTGCAATGTGCATTAATGGAGAGCACCACTGCTTATAATAAAATGTTGGAATTGGCGTCATCTTAAAATTTCACACTTCAGTGTCAGCCTACGGGCCTATATTGTTTTTTTCGGCGCCTGTCTGATGGCTCATCTTCCTGGAGAAGAATGCTTTGAATACTTTGCGTGGCACTCGCTCACACGCCTCTGTCCTCTGAACACTGGCTTTCCGTAAATATTTAAGAAAGCTGACGACTTGCAAATCTAATCTTTTGTGTGCGTTTCAGAGAAGATTGCGATTGTACACTCCAAAACATTCTTTACATTCATAGCTAGCTATAATTAAATTAATTATTTTAAAATTCAATTTACGTTTTTTTTTCTGGTTTAGGGCTTCTGGGGAAGCTAGTTAGTCGGGTTACGTTTAATTTACTTCTAAATCATTCAGACTTTCAGAGGCTACGCCACGAGATTAGCTGCACTAATGAATTATTGTAACGAAGGGTGGCAACCACCTAACGGCCAACTCCAGGTATCAGACCGCAACGACGGAAATAAATCAACCTGGCTTTGGTATTATTTCATTTCTTTCCCACCTGGCAAGTTAATGGAAAGCCAGCACAACCCAGCGGTTAGGAAATCACAGACGTGTCTGTCTGTGCTGCATTCCAACACCTAGTTCTCACAAAGTATGAAGGGGAAAAAAAAAATAGGCACACCCCCCCCACCCCTGTCCTCTGCTCAACTCTGAGCACTTCACAAATCCTGCTACACCCTCTCATCTCCACTGTCATTCTCCGTCACCCTCTGAGTCACTGTGCCCACCTCTCCAATGAAGCTTCCACTACATCATTTATAAAGCTGACTGCATCATTAGACACCCTATACCCTCAGAAGATCTGAGAAGCAGATCTGAGACCTGAGAAGAAGAAATTTAAAATAAATTAATTAATTTAAAAATCACAGGATCCAACACCTGGGACCTCAGTAACCAAGAAACTTTGAATAAAAGACTTCATGGAGAAGAAAGGAAGTGACTTTAAGCCCTATTGGTGCTACGGGTAACAAAGGATCTAACCACCTTCAGTGCATCTCACAAATGCATACCGGGAACAAAAGACCATACCAAGAGGGAAAAGATTTATACCGGCTGCAGACAAGGTCTGCAAATATGTCTGGGAGTAGACGATCTGTTTGCGACACGAGAAGTTCTGAGATTCCAGATGCGCCGTAACCGAAGACAGTCCCCACGGGGATTGCAAACAATGAGACTCATAACAACCAAATTCCAGCAGTCTTTCCAGAGCTCCATTTCCATCTGATTATAACAATTTACTGGAAGATTTTAATTAACAGCAGCAACATGAAGATTATTAATGCAAACCGCTACTGTAGATCCCCTAAATTTAGGTCATCTCGCCATTATTTTTTTTTAAATGAATTCATAGGCTCAGGAGCATATAAATACCAAATAGACTACAAACCATAAACCTTGATCAGAGAAGTGGATGAACCAGGTCAAGGTGAAGTACCGTTCCATACCGGCAAAACCTGCAAATGCTAATCATCATTTTTATATGAGCAATTTGTACGTGCAGAGATGGGGAACCATGCAGAAGCCGCATGATGAAATTCTCGTCAAAACAGCCACATTCCGCAAAATGGACACTCATTATTGAGGCAAATAACATTAATGGATACATTCAGAGAAAAGCAATCCCCTGCTAACGATTAGACTATCCACTCAAACGTTTTGCAACACATATGACGGAAGCCCCTTATTTACAAATAAATTAGATTAAAAAAAATGCAACAACACCATAAAATTTTAAGTATTGCATTATCTTTGCATCAGAATTTTATTGTACATTTGACATGTATCTGATTTACTCTCTGACAAATATACAGGCCATACGAAACTGCCCACTAACTGCCCACTTCTGGTTCCCAGTGGGAAGTCTACCTGTGATGAGATTCCCACCACGAAGACAGACACCCAAAAAGCTGGTCTGCAGAGTCCCTCACACAGATCCATCTGCATGACCAGTAATCGTAAGGCTGCAAATTGAGAGTCACACAGACAATTATTCGAAAAACAAGCCAATAATAGGCTGAGGAATCCCAAAAGATGATGTTGCTGAGATGGGGGGGGGTAGACTGATTACAGCAAAAACCCACATCACCTTCTTATAAAAAGCTCTGAAATTTAGACAGAGTGATATATTCTGGACTGAATGTTGAACTGGATAGAATGAGACATTTTAAGATGTACAACCTGAGCTATTTTAGGTGCTCAGCAGCTAAGGTTGCTTAGGCTTAAGAATGTGGCACTGCTCCAAGAGGAGCAGATCAGCATCCGTGCAGAGATGTCATCTAGACCAGTGACTCTCTTCCCTTTCTATCCAAGGACCCCCTGTGTTTGCCCCGCCCTACACAGGTTATGATGTTGTTTCTCTTGTATGCATCATGCAATGATGACACTAGGGATGCTCCTTTTGACCGTTTAACCGTTAACCGAAATAATTAATTTTGACCGAATATTACTATCAGTTAAACGGTTTAAAATGTTTTTATATATATTTTAATTATTAGTAGTAGTATGAAGTTTTGTGGCATCTCAGCTGAAGATCGCTTTTCACGTTCTAAATACACTGGGTTTGAATCGGCGACTGTGATTACAGGCACACAGGCTTAGCCCACTGAGCCATGAACACAGGTACGAGCTTTGCTGCTGAAAATGGAAACATTGGCGCAAAGCTTCAGCGGCAGAGACATATCCGTGTGCTATATTGTAGCTCTTGTTTTATTTCGGTTACAATGGGTGAATTCACATATTTCTTTATCCAATACTAACTGTCGGATTATCATGTTGTTATCATGCGAATAGCGCAATTTGCAAGTGGGAAGGCGATCAGAGCTGCTTCGAGACGCAGACGCTTAAGTCAGTCACTCTTGTTCTTTCTATTCGTATCACGAAGCTATAAAAATATATTTAGTTTCTACCTATATATATATTTGAAAAGTAGACCGTCCAAGGTTTCTGAGGGTGTTTTTAAAATGTGTATATGATAAAACCTCGCAGAGTTATTTAAATGGTTTGGCGAAATTTCTGTCAGATCCCGCCGGCGGGACCGCCGACCCCAGAGGAATTTAATATTCTAATCTAATCAGTTAACGGTTAATGTTCGGTTAACGAACGGCGGTTGTCGGTTGGGAAAATTAATCGAAATGAGCATCCCTAGATGACACAAATTGTCAGTGTTTATTAAGACCAGCATATTTTAATATGGTTACACTGCCAAACAATGCAATTTCTTTTGAACAAGGATTCACTCCAAGTCGACCTACACTTTTTTGCCTCAATTTATGGCATTGCTCACAAAACAGAAGGTTAATGTTTTTGAACACAAAAAGCTACCTAATCTAAAACGTATTTGGCAAATGGCTGTAAAATCAGGAGCCTGACAAGTGACAACCATTAAAAATGCACATAACTGAAAAGACCCTCATTTCAAGGTATTAGCCCTACATAAAATAAAACAAATACTGCAAACTACAATATTTTTGACAAAGTTTTAAAACAAAATGAACTAAGTATCAATGATTCCTTGCCTTTCCCCTCCGTAACCTTCCCTGTGAGACACAAACTCAACGGTTTGATTTTAGCTGTGAATTCTGGGATTCTGTGTAACGTTACGGCAAGTGCTCCCTTGCAGTTTACAACTGGGAAGGAATACTATTGCTTTCAAAAAATGTTTAATAAAGCCCTAAATTTAATGCACAATAAAAGTATATCGATATAAGAACGTAAGAAATTTACAAACGAGAAGAGGCCATTTGGCCCATCAAGCCCGCTTGGGGAGAATTCAACTAATAGCTAAAAGTTGTTAAAATCTTATCTAGCTGTGACTTAAGAGCGTTTTTCCACCACACCAAGTAGCTTTCTCAAAGTACCAAAAGTGCGGTACTTCAAATAGTTGGTTTTCTGCTGGTGTAAAAGCTGGTACTGGCACTGAATGACATTACAATGCAACGCGAGGTATTTTGCGCTAAATTCGAAAATTGGCTGTAGTATATTTTACGGCTTGCTGATGTGCGATATTGTTACCAACATCGCATGTTGTGCACATGCAGATCTTACACTACTAGTCAGCTATATTAAAATAAGGCTTTTTCTTATTTTCAACTTCATTTATTGTTGTTTTCTGAGTTCACAGCTGTTTTCAAGGCGACATTCATATTGTGTTTCAGAGGCAGGCTATTTTCATAACCAATCAACAAAGAAAACATTTCAAGTCCCACCCTAAAGTACCAAAGGAGTACCCCAGCTGGTTTGGCACTATTGGTACTGGTACTCAACCAGAAGTCAATGGAAAAGCGGGAGTACCAGAAGTACCGCACCAAAAGTCATCGCCCTGCATGGATAAATGGTATCGTCTCATCCTATAGCTTATTTTGCAAATATATCAATGCTAATGTCGTAATTTTTTTCTAAGCTTTTCAAATAAATTGTCTTAGTGGGTCGCAGCCGTCTGGTTAGAGAACCACTGATCTAGATGTCTGAGGTGACGCTAAGCAGAACAGAGCTGTTACGTGGAACCTTACCTGGTGAGGGTGTACTCCCTGAGTCCTGAGTGTAGGTTCATGGCAGAAAAGGTACCTATGCAGCCCCTCAGCCGCTTGTCCCGTCCTGTTTTCCACGTAACAAATAGTGGACTGCAGAGACAATAAAAGAAAATAAACACAAATCATTTGTAATTTCAGCACCCTTTGCTAAGCAGTACTGCCTATGTATACCGTAACTGTCCACGTCATAATTACACACACCCAGGTGACAGCTGTCACCTGTGACCGTCTTATAAAAGACACAAACTTCTACATATATTTATTGTGTGTGGGTGGTAGTACTTCTTATCACCACAGGAGGCGCAGTAAACAAACATTTATTACAAGTCTGCCAATCATATTTTTTACCATAAGATCAGGTTATGGAGGCAGCAGTTATTATATGATCTTACAGTAAAGAGAATATGAGCAATTTGTAGCAAAATGCTAATATGCTAGTTATATTCAAAGGTTCGTACATACTGGCAAAAAAGTGAGTTCTGATTCCGGTATGAATATCCCAATAAATCGCCTGACATCTGGCTGGTATGACCTTAATTATGACATTAATTACCCTTAATTATGTAAGCAGGCCATCGGCTTCACGCAATATTCTTAGATGCTACATTAGGTCAGCTGCAAGGTGTGGCATTTTAGTGCTGAATAAAAATGTAACTCTTTTGAAAGAAATATTCTTCTCCAGACCATTTCTATGTTACACACACAGTACTGTGTAAAAGCCTTATGTTTAAAGATACAGACTTACAGCATAAGTAAAAAAAATATTTTCTCTCCGAAAAAAAAAAGGTTAATGCAAGGATATATATACAGCTTCAGGTTCCTCTTTCTTTTCTCCAAAAGTCACAGGAGTCTTGGTATCCTGGATGGATAGATGAACATCACTCTGTTTCCCAAACCTCCCCTCAGGGGCACCACAGCCATTCCATGTATTCCTTACATTTCATGACCAGCTCACTTAATTAACTTTGTGAGGTATTGATTAACCAAACAGGGTATGCTGGAGATCAAGTCCAACAAATACACCGGTATTCGGGATGATACCTGAAAATACTACGGTGACCTCAGGTGAAGTCTTTAAATAGCCAAGCTGACACACTTTGACAGATCATAGTTTTACACCAACAGAAGCATAATTTAATTTTCTTTGACGGCCTACAACTTTGGCACAGAACCATATATAGATATGGAGGTGCAGCGGCTCAGAAGCGTCTCCCAGTGCATTTTCCTCCCAGTGCATTTTCCTCCCAGTGCATTTCCTTGTGTCCTATTCAGTGACACAAATTATAAACCCATTTGTAAACAGAGTGATGTTACTCCGGTTCCTGAACAGCTTTCAAAGAGAAGAGATAAACACCTATCTATACGAAATAAAGAGCAGGTGTTTGATTAGCACACCATCACAGAGTGATGCAATCATGCATACAGAAACCACCCTTTGGGGGAATAATAGTGATTTTATGCTAAGCGGAACCAATTTAAAACTCTCAGCATTGACCAAGACAACGGTACACAACTTCAATGCAGAGTCACACTAGGCATATATAAAATGTTTCTTTATGAGATTATGTAAATAATACAACATTTATTTAGGTTGAATGTTTGGACCGGTACAATCCATTCCATTGGAAGCTCTTCAATTCAGAAAAATTTAAAGCATCTTAAGATCAAGGTTTACCTTGTCCTGGTCATCAAGCAACTAATTAATGAGATTTCATTTAATAAATTGACTCTATAGACTTTTACTGTACAAACCAAAACATGTGGAGAATGTGCAAATGAGAAATGACAGTAAATTCAATTTAATAATAAAAAAATCAAAATTTAAATCACCAAATATAGTCACTACTTTGAAAAGGAAACAAATTCTCAGCAGAAAAATCCACATCTGCAGTCTTGTCCATTACAATAATTAATAAGCAGGACTGATACATATAAAGTTCAATTTATTAAAGGCTTGGTTGAAACAGAAGATTGCAGCCATCAAACTGCCAGCCATTATTCCGCGCTGGGCTGTACACCGTGTAACATTACGGAGTATGAGTGGAGCCCTGACTTTCACAGACGGCCGGGCATTCCTGATTTACAGCCACAGAGCGGCCCTTCAAGCGGAGCTGAAGCATTAACATGCAGCGGAGCATTTTTCGCAAAGGGAAGCCTGATTTCAAAGGGCACCTATTGTAACAGCATCCATTTATCAACCTGAATTTAAAGAGACAGTGACCTTTTTTCTTTTTGCACTTTTAAAACTGGAATACATTTAATAATACCCTGTAAGGTGAGTAAGTGAATATTGTCCTTGTCGGGGAGGTGCTGAGATGACCAGCTATGTGGCTAAGCAGCCAACTCAACAAATAAGGCATGAGGAAATGTTAACCCTGATGACATACAGTACAGTCTAGATCCCATGAGGCAAATAATATAAGGCAGATAAGCATGGAGAGAAAGCCAGTTGCTTGCAGGACACAGACAGACAGAACGACACTGTCAACGGGGCTGTTACTAACTCAGTAAAAGACCAGTTATGATTATGGGTGAAAAACACCAGGTAGAAGATGCAGCCTGCACAGGGCTGGGCTGCAGACAAACGTACAGCACATCTCCCAGACAGCCTTTGAACAATGCTGAAAGGATTATCTAGTGGAGCTTTTGACACATAAGGTATCAAGCTATACAGAGCTCCAGCTGGAATTGACATCTCTTTCCTTATGGTCTTACAATGCTGGTTGAAAGCAGGGCAGGTCCGGAACAAAGGGCAATTTCCATTATTGGTGAGAATGACGCAAAGGGGGCGGTGCCAGGCCAGGGGTTTCAATGATCACAATTATGATCCTTTGTAAAGGAGGAGGGATGCAAAATTGTACAAGAATATAATCAAAAAATCAGATACCATGCACATTGTTATGCCTAATGGTGAGTGCATCCTTTCAAACTGTAAAAAGAGAGTAACCTCCTACCCTGAGTGGGAGTAATAACTAGATTTCTACAAAACAGGACAGACAGATTTAAGACGACGGGACATTGCAGGGCCTCGGTGGGTAGCACTGTTCCCTCACACATCCAGACCTCGAATCCATCCTCCGGTCTGTGTGCGTTCCACATTCTCCGCATTGAGCAAGGTTCCTCCAGCTACTGTGGTTTAATCCCAATGCAAAAACACGCAGTTAGGCTAAATGACATCTCCAAAGCGTCCACAGTGTCCGCCTGTGTGCATACGTGCCCCGTGACGGGCTGGGATCACAACCAGGGTGCTAACATAGGCTCCCACCTCACGATAAGGAGCGGGAAGAGGGACCATTAAGAAAGACGTGCTGAGAATTGAGGTATTTCCACTCTTTTTTTAAGAAACTACAAACTTTTTAAAGTATTTGTATTAGATAAATGTTTTATCATTGACATTCTACATTTTAACTGTAGGTCTTAGACACCTATACTGTGCCATAGACTGTGCTATAATGTATATGTTTGTCTGTCTAACAAGTGATATAAACTAATTATACAGATTATGTGCCACATATACAGTCCTGCTTAAAATAAGCTACAGCAGTAGTACAGCAGTAAGAGCAGCATTCAGCATAAACTGTGGGTATTTGTTTCTCTGTCTGCAAGCTCATCATGTTGGCCTTGAACTTTCAGAGGGAGCAGATGCTTTTATGCACCGATACAGGAGAGGAACAGATGAGCAACTGCATGCACGCCGGCCAGACGGAGCCTTCTTTAAGCACTTTGGGAAATTCTGGTAGTAGTAGTAGTAGTAATGAAAAAAACATACCCAGTGGCAAGAAGAATCACGCGTTTTTGTTCTTGGCACGGAGGCTGTCAGCTTGTTACAGCAGATGTAAACAATTTAGGTAAAAACCTATTACCTGTTTGCTATCCATTCTGAAAAAAAAACCTGAATTAAAAATGCACTTTCTCAGTGTTCTATTCCAGGGTAATGTGCACAGCCATCGTGGTAATACCACAGTACTGATTGCCCAGACAGTTGCATGCATACAAGCATCACTACTCATTTTTCAAGACTGTCAAAAGCGGTAAATTAGGGTGTAATTACTTATAAACAGCCTGTTCAATTACTTTCGCTAATAACACGTCTCAAACCCCTAGCCTATCCTCAGATGCCTTAGCTTTTCCACTAGCGTTAGCCGCTACATCTGTTTATTTTGTGTTTATACATTTCATGGGAGGGGGAACAGGGCCATTTAGGCTAATTCCACCCCTAAAATTGTACCCAAGTATGACTCAGATCACTCAAGCCCAGGACTCACCAATGACTCTAAATACAGCTAATGCCCAGAGATCTGCTTTAACCATTTATACTGTGGTAAGGAGCTCCCTCTTTAATAAATTATATATATATATATATTATTTATTATGTATATATATATGTGTGTGTGTGTGTGTGTGTGTGTGTGCGTGTGTGTGTGTGTGTGTGAAAACAAATAGTTTTGGGCCTATCACTAATTTGAATCCCCTGACACTGTTTTTCACATTATATTGTAGAATAGGCCTAATACATTTTCATATACTTTCTTTTATCACATGTATCCAAACAACTATTCTTTTTGCACAATCCAGGAAAAAAATAACACTGAATCCCTGATAGCAGGTTTTACTCTTGCCTTTGCATTTAAAAAAAGACAAGAGGCAATTTTATTGCTGGTTGGAAAGAACTCAGGAAGATAGGATGCCAAACAGTATAAGTTTTTAAAATGGAAATAAATGTTTATATTTTGATGGAGGGGGCAGAAGGAACCCCCCCAGCATATAACAGATAAGCAACACATTCATTATTCCATGCAAACCTAACAACTGTCAGTGACGGTATGGATTCCTTTGTAGCTCGGAGGTGAAGGTAGGAGACTGGGAGACTGACATCAGCCCTGACAGCTATACAGCAGGCCTGACAGCTATACAGCAGGCCTGGCAGACACACACAATCCGAGAAAAATAAACAATGGAGCAGAAGAGCTGTGGCTGTTTACACATTAGTAATATTTTACCATAGTAACGAGAAGGATAAAGTGATCATTTACTGGGGGGGACCGTGCTGTAACAGTTGGTTTGGGGGTCTAAACACAATCGCCACTGTT